CCTGGATATTCAACACTGTGTACAATTTCTGACATTCTTTGTGGCAAAGAAGTTGAATTTGACAACAGTGAATTAGAACTTGACGCAAGTGATTTGACTTGTTTTAAGTATGCCCCTGTGACATCTTGCGACATAGAAAGGAGTTTCTCCAAATACAACGCCATTGTTAGTGACAATTGGAGGTCCTTCAAGTTCAAGAATTTGAAAATGCATGTTGTCATTCAGTGCAACTGTACTGAAAAGGAAGATTAAGGTACCGTACAAATTATTTACCTGCAACTATTGGCACACTTTACTTTACTTTTCACGCTAAAATAAACAATACTTTCGTTCATGTTTTCTCTTTACAGGGTCAGCATTGTGTTGTGATGGATGCTTCATGGCTTAAAGACATTTATTCAGAAAAAATAACTTTGTAAACTTCTTAATAAATTGCCATTCTTAGGAATTTTTGTTAAATATTTACTTATTTTTTATGAGCCATTCTGTCATATTTTGCCATTTTTAGGGCATAAATGCATGCATATTTTCAAAGTTTTTAGGTCATAGAAATCCGAGCCCTAATTATTAGAAAATGCACACTAACTTACCGCTGGAAACGAAACATGGCGACTACATACCTCGGTAGACGTGGGGATAACTGGGTTACAGAAGATGCGAAATAGGTTTTCCTTNTAACATTTATGCAACTTCCTTTGCCTGTTCCCTGTCTGGGGTAAGATTAGTAACATTTTATCACACACTTTCATACTTTGCACTTAAATTGTTTATAAAAGATTTATTCAAAAATAATTCAGCACAGAGGGCACTGAGAGTTACTTAACATACTAGCAGTGAAAGGGTTAAGTATAAGGAAATTGAGAACCAGAATTAGTATGAAAAGTACACTCCTAAGCTAAGCTCAAATGCTTCTGCTGGTTTCTTGCTTGGTTTACTCTTCGGCCCTAAAGATGGAGACATGTTACCCCATAACATTAGCCTGTCTCTGAACTACATGACGTAACCCAGAGTACCATGCTCATCACAGTCATCACTGTGAGAACTTCAAATTCAACAAGAATGGGTATGAACATATATTATTAACCCTTTTTTTGCTCAAAACTTATCTAATTATATTGACAAAAGTTCTGGGAACAGCTAATTGCCTACTTTTCTTTAACACAACATGGCATGCATAGAAAATGACACCTTCAACAATTCTTCATTGCTGCAGGGAAGTATTTACCGAGCTGTTGCCTAGCAACAACAGAGCAATATACAGAGAGACCCACAGACTCTCTTTAGATATGACACAGACTGCACAGAGAACAAATCGTCCGATGATTCTTTTACTGTTGCATGTATTTGCTGACACAAGAACATGTTTACCAAGTAATTTTGTAGCAACAATAGAGGGGGGTATATATACAGCCACACAGACTGATGGGAGGGATTTATGAAGCATGCTGTTGAGACGGGCTCAGGTGCCATGATATACATACAAGTTAGTTTCATATTCATCGGTTCAGGCATTTAAAAGTCGATTGGGGGGGGGGGATACACATAAAGACATATATACACACACACACAGTTACCCAGACAGCAAGGTGAGCTCATAAGCCTACTTCTATTTTTCAAAATAAGGAAAGTAGGCTAAAAATTCAATTCCTACCTCACAGGGAACAAGGGAAATGGCTGCGGTTCAATTCAACAACCAGTATGCCTTAAAGCTATGAATATCTTAAAGCAACCAAAATTTTCTTTATGTTCCATCATTTCAATTCCCTGAAGTTACACTTTCCTTGAATTTATGTTTATTTCAATAAATCTTCATTACTGTGAAACCTCAAATCTTGACACCAACCTGGTTCCCTTCACTGTAGTACGAGCCGTCTCATGTGATCCTAGTGTATTGGATGTTTCTATATACTTCCTGTCAACAGAGATGCCTGGCTTTTTCTGGGCATCAACAGAGCCCGACTTCATCACTTCGACAGTGACAGGCAATGGGTTGCACTTGGAATCCAACATACATTCACCATCTGTTGGCAGAATTTCAACTCTTTCACAATTTAATGCGTACTCTGAACATTACTTACAATCTTCCAGGACATGACGCCATGCAATTTGTAAATTATTACCGAAATTTCAGTGGAACCTGATTCCTCCATCTTCAGGGAGTGAGATGGAGACAGCAGGTTAATAAAAAATATTGGTAAATTCTACCAGACTACACAGCATCACATCCCAGAAGACAGCGAACTTAAACTTTATTGTCTTACCATGCCTCTACACAGAACAGTAAGTGATTACAAATTACTGATACTATAGTCTCCATCATTAGAAAGCTGCTGGATCCCCTAGTCAACACGAGGGGCACCAGAGATCTCATTGCACACACAGGATGTTCCTTAAATACAGCTGCCTACTCAACCAGCAGGCCGTGGCCCAGACCACTGCTTTAAGATCTTATTTTATATCTTCAATTTACCTAGAAGGAATCCCATTCCAGTGTCTATGTTGGTGCGTAGATATGTCGCCGAGGGCAGAAGATTTGAGAACGAATCCAAGATAGAGGCAACGAGAAGCTGTTTGTCTCTTGATCGAACAAGTGGAACACTATGGATATCTGAATCGGATGGCAACAGTGGACCTGGAAATAAGAACATTCACTGAGATAACTTCCCCACCGATGGTGTCTCCAAATTATCATGGTGGTGGAGTTTGAGTGCTACTGAGACCCTGAGAGTTATGCCGGTGGTAGGGTAGCTACCGGTAGGGTCACCTATGCCAGACAAGTCAAGGGGTAGGAGCCAGACAAAGAGGGATACCCTGGTCCTCCAGGTTGGGGGTTGGGCATGAGGCTAACAATTTCACACATTAAAAACTAAATTGTTCAGACACCAGATAAACAGCCTCAGATGGATTTATTGAATGGAAATTGACATCAGCGAAAGAGGTGAGATGGTTGAAGGATGTACATGAGGATCTCCATAAAATGGAAGTGAAAGGATGGGGAGGAAATGTGAAGAACAGAGAGGAATGGAGGCAGATTGTTCAGGAGGCCAAAGCTCACCCTGAGCTGTAGCACCGAGCGAGGGAAGGAAGGAAGGAAGGAAGGAAGGAAGGAAGGAAGGGACTGAGATATGAATGAATGAATATATAAGGGGTGGGCCTTCTCAGCCCTTGCACCAAGACTTACAGTGGTCTATTGTGCTTTAGGACTGATACTCTCTGTAATTGTTGTTGTATTTGTTGCAGTTGTTTGTATTTCTCTGTAATTGTTGTAGCTGTTAATTGTATTTGGTTTGTATTCATTGTGGTAGGATGTCCTTATTGTTGTGTTTTGTGTATTGTGTTTTGTTTGAACGTGTTGTCACTTAGTGTAATGTGTGTTACTTGTCTGTTGTGTCCTATTGTGTTCTACTGCCACCGGGCCAAAACCCAATTGCAGTATAATAAAATAATATATATAACTTAGTGATGAATGTTAGATGTAGCCAGTAGCTCAGTAATGCAGTGTCAATGTTAGGTTGACACATGCAAGATAAGAGTCTGGAAGGAAGCATAATGGCTAATCGAGGCCCTACCCTGGCATCTGCCTGGAGGAGCTAGGGAAAACCATGAAAACCTCAGTCAGGATAGCTGGTGTCCTGGCCAAGATTAAAACCAAGAACCTCTTGAATACAAGCAAAGAGCATTACAGCTATGCCATGCTGGTTAGTGGATACACTTGGATGTCGGACAACCCACATCAAATGAAGATGTCTAAGAGGAAAAAGAAGTATTACAATTTTATAAGACAGTTTAAACGAATCAATTACACTCACAGTGAAACTGTTTTTCTTTTTCCACACTACAATCTTCATGTTCACATTGCCACAACCAGTAATATTCAGTAAAAGAACAGTACAATAAAAGGAACTACCTAACTTCATGGAACCCAGCCCTTCTCGAGAAGCCACCAAGTGTGCAGCTACTCAAGAGCTTCCCAGCATTTTATGGAACCCGAAGATTCATTACCGCATTCACAGGAGCCCTCTGCTGGTCCCTATCCATATCACTCCATCCTATCTCTTTAAGATCCATTTTAACATTGTCTACCCACCTATGTCTTGGTCTTTCTAATGGTATTTTTCCTTCTGGCTTTCCCACCAGTATCCTATATGGAATCTTCATGCCCATTCATGCTACATGCCCTGCCCATCTCATCCTCCTTGACTTGATCATTCTAATTATGTTTGGTGACGAGTACGAGTAAAGAAGCTCCTCATTATATAGTTTTCCGCAGTCTCTTGTCACTTCATCTCTCTTCAGTTCAAATTTTCTCATCAGCACCCTGCTCTCAAACACCCTTAGTCTATGTTCCTCCCTTAATGTCACAGACCAAGTTTCACACCCAAACACAACCACAGCCAAATTATAGTTTTGCATATTCTAATTGTTATATGTTTTCAGACAGCAAACAGAGGAAAAAAGAGCAAAAGAGGTACAAAAACCAAAATAAGTTCATTTCTTAAACACATTCTCTATAGTACTATGTACGAGTATGTAAAAGAGGTGAGAAAGAAATGGTTAAAGCTAGCCTTGTAACAGACTGTGGAGGCCTGTAGGGTTCTGAGAGGTCGAGGCTCCCACATTTTTTAGACAACTGGCTCACAGATGGCCATGAGGTTTTCAGCCTCACATGCCGGCCATCATTTATCCCCCAGGAAGATCCCTGGTACTCATTTCTGTTACAGGCTGAGTTGACCCCAGGGCCAGTGTGGCTGGAAGGATTTGGTCAATTGAGAAATCCAATGACCTCATCGGGAATCGAACCCGGAACCTTCCGACTTGTAGCATAATGCCTCAACCAACTACACTACCGTGTGCCCCCATAGCATGTATGAAAAAACTCCGTGATTTTAGTCCACAAGTGAACTATACCAACCGAGCGACCACTGCTTTTCAGCAAAGTTTAGTGCCAACTTTTGCGAACAGAGGGGGTCGCATAGTGAGCGCAACAAATCCCCACAGCCGTTAATTTCGGTTTTCTAGACCAGAGCCGCTATTTCCTTGAAACAGCTCCTAAATTATCACGAGGCTGAGTGGACACCGTTCCAGACCCACTACTTCTCAGAAAAAATCTGGTAGTGCCAGGAATCGAACCCGGACCTCTGGATCTGTAGCCAGGAACGCTAACCACTAGACCACAGAGGCAGACAGGCTACCTAATAAGTTTTTAAGACTGATGTCAGAACTTGCTTTTTTATATTTCGTCACAAGTAAATTTATTTTATGATATGCGATCTAAGTTTCAAAAACTGAAAACAAATTTGTTCCTCCATATATGATCTTGCTGATCTATAAACTATAAAACAATGAAGAACACAATCTTGTGGGCTGTAACACTATGGAGTTCAGAGACTGCCCAACATTTTGGAGGAACATGCCTCTTCCATCTCTACAGACCAAGACTATGACTACTACGTTGTACTCTCTGTGAGTTACGTGGCGTTACAACCCGCAATCAATGCACTCTTCATATAAACATTTGTTGCATTTGAAGTTATCTTAGTTGTGATTATGGGGAGTCATATCTTCTAGTATGTTATGTCATGTAGTCTGGTAAAGTCCATCAACATTTCAGAGAACAAAACTGCCTCCATCATCAGGGTTGAAGAGCAACTCCAGTAAGCCCCTAGAACTGTAGGAAGCATGGAACCATGATCTCCACCTCATGGGGAAGGACAGGGAATAAAATAGCTTGGCTTTTTTAATTTGAAACTTTTAAAATCTGTGGATGTTGCATACAGAAGATTTCCCACACTCTTCAACCCTGATGATGGATAGAGAAGTATATTTGTCCAAAACGCTGATGAACCTCTATCAGATTGTATGTACTCACATCCAAAAAAGCAAGCAGCCTTTAAAAGTCACTACATAGTCCTCTGCCTAACTAAATGTTGCAGTCAAGCAAAACAGAAACCATTCGTTGTACTTCTGTCGGAACAATGTACACACTCATACTGTCATCTTCTGCAAAATACACCATGTAGCGGAGGAACATCAGACTACACGATGTCAAAACCTATAACCCCACAATATGAATCTTCACAACTATGAAAACTTTAAACCTCACTAAATGCAGAATCTTAATAACAACCAGTAGCATCCTTGTATTACAGTCTTATAATCTGACAGAGGTGAAAATTCCAGTCATGTACATGCAGCTACTGCCAGGATTTCTCAGTCAGTATACTGACAGGCTACAAGCTGGATGGCCACAGTTCAAATTCCGGAAAGGACAATACTTTTGTCTCCTCCACAGCATCTAGAATGGCTCTGGGGCCCACCCATCCTCATCCAATGGGTACCGTGGGCTCTTTCCCCGGGAGTAAAGCAACCTGGGCATAAGCTGACCACTCACCTCCATCTAGTGCCAAAGTCAAGAACAATGGAGCTATACCTCCACTTCCCTATATGACTTCATGGAATAGTGCTTAATTCATTAAATACAGAGACAAATTTTATTATGGAAAGCTAAGCTAAAACATCTTCTGTGATCACACGAGAAAGATAAAATTATCACTAGCAATAAACCATTGTTAGTTCTTGTAAGTACAAAATCTGATGATAACAACATGATCTGAACAAACCTTTGTATCCTGGGATCTTTAATTGTGCAGCAGCATTTATATTCAAAAGCTTCAGCTTCGAAGCGACGTTTATCTTCTGACTTTTGTCTGTAAACAAGAATAAAACATTAAAATTAAAAATGAAACAATCAGGAATTTACAGCTACTGTCTGACACAAACATATCGCAGAAGTTGGATCAACAAAAGAACGAACACATTCTTTCCAACCCATCTGCTTAGCACAGGGGTGAGAAAACTGTGGCAGGCCTGCAGAGCTATTGTGAACATTTGTTTATAATATTACTTTTAATTTATATCAATACTTTCTAGTGTAGTTGGTTGAGGCACTATGCTACAAGCTGGAAGGTTCCAGATCCAATTCCTGATGTCACTGGAATTTCCAAATGATCTAATCCTTCCAGCCACACTATGGCCTTTGTGTCAACTCAGCCTCCCACAGAAATGAGTACCAGGAATCTTCCTGGTGGTAAAGGGAGGCCAACATGCAAGACTGACAACCTCACTGCCATCTGTGAGCCGACTGTCTAGAAAATGTGGCAGCCTCAATGACTCACAACCCTATGAGCCTCAATGGCCTGTTACAGGGATAAATTTGCTTAATCTCACCACCATCTGTAAGCTGATTGTCTAGAAAATGTTGGATATCTGACATCTCACAACCCTATGGGCCTCCACAGCCTGTCACAGGGACAGCTTTACTTAAGCTCACTGCCATCTGTGAGCTGACTGTCTAGAAAATGTGGGAGCCTCGACATCTCACAACCCTAGGGGCCTTTACGGCCTGTTACAGGGATAGCTTTATTTAACCTCACCACTGTCTGTGAGCCAACTGTCTAGAAAATGTTGGAGCCTCAACATCTCACAATCCTATGGGCCTCCACAGCCTGTTACAGGGATAGCTTTACCTTTTAACCTTTACTTCACTTTTTTAAGCAACAGTTAAAAAGCTTGTCAGCAACTGCCAGTGCCACCATCTATCAAACTAATGTGGAGAATAAAGACATTCAATATTCATATTATACTTTTCTGCTTATTAAAACACACTTCAAGAACATAACATAGGCATATTTCTGGCCTGGCAAACCCATAATCTTGGCCCTTCAGCTATAAAGTTAGACCACCCCTGGGTTAGCACCTACCTCTCCTCACTTCCATCAAGTGCTTGTATTCTGGTTACCATTCTGTAAGAACCTAGCAGACTATAGGGTTTCACAGCCATCTCCAGAGTATAAGACGAAGGCACTAGCTTTTTCAAATTGCTGGCACTTTTCTATGACACTACATGGTGTCACAGACCAGAAACCAGTAATGAGCATATATTATGATAGACCATAACTGGACATAAAACGTGATAGAAATTCTGGGATACCAGAAACATTCATATATCAATAATATACTGATATGCTTATATTGCTGTATTGGTTTCTATGTTAACAGACTCATACGACATCCATTTACAGCAACTTCCTGCCATGTGTTTGTCAAAAATTCAAATACTGGAATGAAAAGAATTAAATTTAATAAAATGCTCCCCAGGCTTACAAGAGGGCTGACAATACATAGGCATACAAATCAGCTTCATACTGCAAGCACAGCATACCTGTCCTGACAATCAGTTTGTCACAGAAGTCAGGATTAAGTACAGATGCTACTTGTTGTGGAGTGGCACAGTCAAGCACAACTAGGGACCATACAACATCCAGCCATGCTGAGGGACTCCGTACATCTTGCAGCGTCACTTGAGGCAACACAATCTGAAACATTTTCCACGTGCTTTGTTATACCGTTCGATACGACATTCACTGTCTGAAGCATACCTCATATAAACATTTCAGACAATGAATCTGTTTCTGTCATCAGGAAACTCCCATCATAATATTTGTATAATAAAGCAACCAACTTCATGATCCTTTAAAGAAACATATTTTCTAGTAAATTAATTTATTTCAATAATCTATATTTCCATTACAGTCTGAGTTACTCATGCTGTTAATCATTTTCTTTTTAATAAAATGCTTACTAACAGAAGCAGTAATAGGATATCGAAAACTGGGCCAGCTATCCTGAAAAATACCCTGAAGAAGGCATAAATATAAGACATATGAGAACTGAGCTTATTCTTTCTTTCTTTCGATTGCGTGATCATCTGAGAGCTTCTCATATACTGCACTGAGCCACCGACTCTTCAACTAGGACAGCTGCACGATTTGCAGAAAACTGCACTGAAGAAGAAATTTATTATTAACAGGGAAAACATTTTGCTGAAGTTTACATTGGATATGTTACATGCAACAGCATAAAATGTACCAGGTCATGAACCTGAATTCAGTGGGATTAACAACCTGTCAAGACACATCTGTTTTCAGCAAGTACATGGTTCTACTAACATTCACAGAAATCTTTGAAATATTTCTGGAATTCCTGCAATGTGACCTTCGAGCCACTTCAATCTCAGTTACATCCTGATGTAACAGTTCTTCAGTCAATCCATCATCCATAAGAAGGGACGGAAATCACATAACACAAGACTGGAAGAGTGTGGTGGATGGGGAAGCATGCGACGAGCTGTTGCAGCGTAAGCAGCAATCAATGCACATGTCAGATATTAATCCTTTAAAGCACAGTGGTAACTACAGGCATCATATGCTTTACCATTAAAAACATCCACAGTCTGTCAACAGAGTGTATTTACGCATTTCCATTAGTCGCACAATAAACAGCAATAATTTCCCAAAACAGCATTTAAGAGCTTATTACTCAGACCTCCTGGCAACAGGCGTGAAGGAAAAGATCCGATCCAAGTGGAAGACAAGTGGAAAGTGGGTAGCCTTCCTTCAAGACAATGCATGCCCCCATATGGCCAAAACAACACTGGAAACCCTTCGGAAATTGAAATGGAACCTTCTGACACATGGGCCGTACAGTCCCGATTTGGCCCCAAGTGATTTCTACCTGTTCGGAAGGCTCAAAGCAGACTTGCAAGGCATGTGGTTTGTGGACAACGACGCCATCATCCAGACTGTTCGGGAGTGGATACACCGCCAACCACAAGTCTTTTTTTTTTGGACATCAGGATGCTTCCAGAAAGTTGGAAAAAATGTGTTGACTCCGGAGGGGAGTACGTTGAAGACTGACATGTGCAAGTAAGTGTTTGGCAATTATTTTTTTTTTTAAATCAGTCCCAGTCATATTTGAACCACCTTGTATAATTTAGATACAGTGTCTTTTCTGTGAGGAAAGATCTGAATTTTAAATATTACTTCAATGAACAGTAGGTTTTGAAAGGTTAATATCTACCATCTGACATCCTTCTCTGGCAGATATTGTTACATGTACACCCACTGCTAGGCCACATGTTGGTAAAGAAGTTCCTGCAAAGACAGATTCTTGGTAAACAGTCTGTTGTTAGGTTACGCAACAACAGAGAAAGCTGTGTTTTCTGTGTCCACAATGATGCCACAACAGTGGATAGTGATCACATGAAATGTATTTTCTGTAGATCCGACTGATGCGCCAATAGGCCTGGCTGGATAGCGATCATGTGATATGTTTACTATAGGTCCAAGCCTGTTCCTTATCTATATAAGTAAAGCAGTTATAAGTTACGAATAACAGTGGCAGAAACAAGCAAGCAAGAAGATAGCCACAGGAAGTTCACAGTTGAAGAGGAACTGGAAGTCGGCCTGTGAAGACTTAACATGTGATTATATTTATGTGTAATTCTGTGACTGTTATCCTTTAAGTGCCGAAGTGCCCCGTTTGTGCCAGTGGTGAGTAAGGTCGTCGTGGCCAAAGTACCCAGTTTTGGCCACTCGGGCATTTAAACTCCGCTAGGGGAAGCGCGCGCACACGCTGCTAGTAGAAGCGAATGCAGAGTCCTAAATATTTATTTTTAAATGTAGTAATTACCAGACAGACTTGAGTAAAGCCCTAATAGAAAAATTAAAATGATACCTAGGTGAACAACAACAAAAAGAGTATACGTATGAGTTATGCCCAAACTCATCCACGAGCCAGTACTTTTATTGCAGATTCTGCAGATTAATGTGTTAAAAATATATAGTAAAATTCGATGTACATACCTTTTTTGTTGTTATCTGCTTGATGTGTATCTAGGCTGAAATAAAACTACAGTATTCGATTTCACTAAGCACGCACAGAAAACAGACCGCACTCTGAATCTCAGCCGCGATGCAGCTGTCTGTTCAGGCCCATAGAAAGGGCAATAAGCTTTTGCAGCTATAACGGAAGGTCTTAGAACTGAAGAAGGGACCCCTCTAGCTTTCTCTTGAATAGCCATTCTTTCATTATTCTGACCTTCAGTCAAAAGATTCGAAAATCCGAAGGGTGTAAGCAGCGCTAGCAGAAGGCCAAATGATTTTATTGCTTCCATCTGTTTTATGACATCAGGGAGGGCTAAAATTTGTCAAGTGTTACAAACAGAAATGAATTTGTAATGCAGAACAACTCTGTGAAGAACTGGGAAATCATTTTTGCAATACTCATCAAAATTAAAAACAAAAAATTGAAAATGGAGTATAATTTGTATAAAAAATGTCAAATCTTCCGTTATAATATGAGACACTATGTTCTTTGCTGATACAAACAAAATTAGTTCCATCCATTTATCATAAAAATTGAATTAGATACAGCATTTTTAAACACAATGCTAAAAATTGTTTAGGCGCACTAACAGGAACGCACATTTAAAGGCAGAGTACCAACGGGCATTTAAACGCGCACCTGCAGCGGGCATTTAAATAAACTCCGGCCAGCTCAAGCTTACCACTATTTCAGAAGTCCGGCGTTTAAAGGTTAAAGTTCCCATGTTATAAACCCGTGAAGACTAGTGCAGACAGACTGAAGAGATCGGTGAGGAGTGACTGTACATTGTGTAAAGCAGTAACAGGGTAATAATTAATTGTAGTTATGACCTGCAGATTATTAATAAATCCAATTAGCAATCCAAACCCACGTCTTAGTCACCCATACATGACAATATTTATATAAACTAAACATTTATGATTCTAAAGAGTAGTTCTATCTTCTAAACTACAATACTATGTAGTCCAGTGAAAATGAACCAATATTTCAAAGTAACACGACACCTCCATCTTCAGGGTTGCAAAGCCAAGCAAGAAAACAGCATGAAACAGGCAGCAAGAGGAGCCGTTCCACAGCCTGTAGGGCCTAGCTAAGTTTATGATATGGTCCACTTACCAAACAAATTCCCATCACTTGATTAGATACAACTTCTCAAATGTTACATAAAGGAGACATACCTCAGTGATCAATCTCCGACACAACTGTGTTGCAACTATTTATATTTACACAGACAGAGCTTCAGCACACACAAACTAACTGAAGACTTACGAGATTAACAGAATATACCCTCAGTATGAGGGTACAGAGATATTACATTTACATGAAAGAACGGTATGCAGCTTAGTAAACCAATCAGTTCTGTTACTAGAAACAAAAAAACGCAAACACATCCTTAAAACTTACATCGAAGAGACGATCTGCATTGTGTGGCATGTGAAATACTGTGGCCAGCGTAATGAACAAAGCTGTCAAATCATGAGGCCTGCAAATGGTGACATGGTCTGCCACCCATTCTGCCAATATATCCAGTACCTCTGGCAACAAATAATATAAGTGTCAATACTTCGTAAGTTTTCTTTTTCCATTCAGCGCCTGCACCAGAGACAAAATCCAGAATTAAGTTCGCTGATCATACTTGTATATGCAACAGATGTCCCCAAAACTGATTTATAATAAAAGTTGTCCCTATGCTTAACTAATTAAGCACTATGCCATGACGACGTATGGGGGAGTGGATGTATAGATTCACATTTTCTTGACCTCGGCACTAGCTGGAGGTGAGTGGTGAGCTTCATGCCCCTGCCACTTTACCCCCAGGGAAAGAGCCCCCAGCACCCATAGGATAGGAGGCTGGGTGGGCCCCAGAGCTAGTATGGACAATATGGAGAAGAGAAAATTCTGACCCTACCAGGACTTGAGTTCCAGACCCTCAGTCATCCAGCCGGTAGGCAGTCGCTATACTGACTGCGCTAACCCAGCTCATCAATCTGATTTATAGTACACGCATTAAATAACTCAGCTGTCAGTACAGTGTCTGGGCTATGGGATGGCTGACCAGGGTTCACTTGTCTGGAGAGGCAGAAGTTTCTGTCTTCTTCTCAGCATTCAGACCAGCCCTGGCAGCCGATCAGCCTCATACACAATTGATACCCAAGGCTCCTTCCCTAGGAGTAAAGCTGACCACTCACCTCCATCTGCAGTGAAGGTCAAGAATGTGCTGGGCTATATCGCCACTCGCACATACATCTTCACAATGTAGTCCTTAATTCAGCATAGGGGCAACTATACCTTTTATGACAATGAGCCGGGGTAGCACAGTTGGTGTAGCAACTGCCTGCAGGCTGGACGACCGAGGAGTCAGAGTTCTGAGTCCTGGTAGGGTCAGGATTTTCTCTTCTCCATATTGTCCAGACCGGCTCTGGAGTTCACCCAGCCTCCTATCCAATGGGTACTGGGGGCTCTTTCCCCACGAGTCAAGTGGCAAGGGTATGAACCTGACCACTCACCTCCAGCTAGTGGTGAGGTCAAGAAAATGTGGATCTACACATCCATTCCTCCATACGCCTTCAGGGCATAGTGCTTAATTAGTTAAGCACAGGGACAACTTCACCTTTACATTTACATAATAATTTCTATATACTGTAACATCAAAAGTAAAAAGTTTATAGATACAATATTATAAAAACACACCTTCATCAAAAGTTATTTATACACTGTAAATGACTACCTTTGTGAATTTTTCCATATAGCTTATCCATTATTGAACTTTACACTTTGCAGACCGGTTGCATATTTTTATGCCCAGCGCTTTTAAATGTGGCAGACTGGTGGCACATTATTATGACCTTAGGACACGTTATGTTGAAACACACTATACCTTGCACTGGCGCCAGGCAGACGCATGACTTGTGCGTGACAGACCTCTTGAATATTTGCTTCATAGTCAGTAACATGACCCTGCTGTTTATGACCCAACTGTTTTCCTTTCTCACTCCAAAAGAAAATGCCTTTGTTCATCTTCCAGCTGCATGCACCAGGCAGGAAGTTACTAGTGCAAAATGGATCAAGGTCAGAAGAGGTTAAGGTCCAAGCGTTTTCTCGGAGAACAAGAAATATCTGACTTGTTCTCCGATGAGTTATCTGATGTCCCTTGTAAGTCTGCTAGTGACAGCGACTCACAATCTGATAGTGAGTGTGGCAGGGGCGAACAAAAAACTGTGGCCACAGACAGTGAAAGTGACAGTAGCTCTGACGAAAGTGTGGGTAGCAACATTGCGGGGAGAGCCACATGGGGAAAAGTAGACAAAATGCCTGCTTTGGGACAGTTTACTGGAAATCCAGGGGTGAAGCAAATTCAATCGGACCCAACGCAAGTGTCTGAAGTAGCAGAACTGTTTTTCCACGATTCACAATTCGAGTATGGTTGATGTTCAAAGGAGACATGGACAGGTAAAGAAGCCTGTTTGTATTTCCGAGTATAATATGTTCATGAAGGGAGTTGATAGAGCTGATCAGTACTTGGCCTATTATTCTCTTCCTCGGAAAACAGTAAAGTGGACAAAGNNNNGAAAGTTGCCTTGTGGCTTATAAATTGTGCCATTTTCAATTCATTTTTGGTTTTCAAAAATCTAAACCCTCATTCAAAATTGAAATACAAGGCATTTCTGCTGAATGTGGCAAAAGCCTGGGCTACAGACCACACGGTGGTAGCAGACACAGTCTTAGTACGACCGGGGATGTCTACTTCCACCCCACGCAGGCCTCATTTTGACCCCCCTGGGCGACTCTCGGGTGATATGCGGAAACATACCCTCGTGAAAATTGTGAAGAGTGAATATGCCAAGGGGAAGCAGCCTTCTACGTGATGCCGTGTTTGCACAGTACACAACAAAAGGAGTATGACTGTCTACATGTGCAAGTTCTGTGTAATGCCACTTCACAAAGGGGAATGTTTCCAGAAATATCACTCTCTCAAGCACTTCTAGGAGCACTGGTAAGTGTTCTCCAAAAATTTTAGTTCATAAAATTAATTAGGATATTTTATATTAATTTTCAAAGTGACCAGTGCACAAGTTAGGATAGTAGGTTTAAAAATGCCTGTCCCCAGGGTGATTTAAATATTTAAATTGCCGGTCTGCAAAGTGTTAACTGATTATAATAGGGAGCATAACATGATTACTTCCTATCTTGATAAGAACATAATTAATTCCATCATGACACTCTGGAACAACAGCTCTTAATTAATTATGAGTGGAATGAAAAATTGAATCTGCAAATAGGAAAGGCCATTCTAACTGAATGCAGACTGAGGTCCGGACTTACCCACTAAAATAACATGCAAGGGATACCCAGCTGACCAGTGAGAACGACAAGTGAAGGGGAGCACTAGATGGAAACCGCAAAATGAAAATACTGCAGAGTGATGACAGAGTATGCATTCTCAAACAAACACATTTTAGTGCAAACGACAGTATGCAGTAGCATGGGATGCACTGGCATATGAACTGGTGCAATGCGGCAGTTTCAATTAGTGAACAACTGCCAGAAGATGGCCTTCTAACACCAAAACATGTTGCAATTAAATGTGATTTTAATGACATTTTAAAATAAAGGAGAGACAGTGAACGGTTTGTGTTGGATTACAGATGGATATGAGTGATACATCAATGCAAAGCTATTCCTGTAAAAGGCTGTGAAGGCCAACAGAGTTGTGAGACATCGAGGCTCCCACATTTTCTCTAGACAATCGGCTCACAGATGGCAGTAAGGTTGTCAACCTTACACCCCAGCTGGCCTTTAACCCCCCCCCCCNACTCACTTCTGTTTGAGGCTGAGTCAACCCCAGGGCCATAGTGCAGCTGAAAGGATCAGGTCATTTGAAATAATACACTTCATCGGGACTCAAACCTGTGACCTTCCGGCTTATAGCATAGTGCCTCAACCAACTATGCTCCTGTGTGTTCCAGGATATGGGTGTGAGAGGTCGAGGCTCCCACATCTTCTAGACGGTCGGCTCATAGATGGCGGTAAGGTTGTCAGCCTTACACCCCCCCCCCCCGAAAATTCCNTCGTTTCTGCTAGAGACTGAGTCAATTCCAGGGCTAGAAGGATTAGGTAAATTGAAAAAAATCAAATGACCTCATTGGGATTCAATCCCATGACCTTCCAGCTTATAGCACAGTGCCTCAACCAACTACACAACTGCGTGTCCTACTAAAATAATTTAACAACATTCAAAAATAGATACGATCAATAGGTGAAACTTGTAACTGTAATTATTTTATTACAAACAGCTGATGCAGACAGATGGAATTAAAGTATATGAATTTAGGCATTCTATCAGTTCTTAGGAAAAGAAATCTGTTGATAGTCATAACATGGCTTGAAGAGTTTTTCCTTCCAGGATGTGATGCTGTGTAGTCTGGTAGAACTTGACCAACATGTCACAGAAACATGCTGTTTCCATCTTCATGTTCAAAGAGGAATTCTTTTACTCTTTTTATCCCATGCTTTTCTGAGACACTGGTAATTTCACCACAACACACCCCAGAAGATAAAACTCTTCATAGTCAGTGCTGTTGGAACAGAAAACACTCCAACATTTACCTGTATTCTTGTATCTTAGAAGACCAAGACTTGTGAGGATAGAACCTATGACAGCCGGTTTCTGGTTGAATGCCACACATTCATGTAGATCGTCACATGTCTTCTCCAGCAACAAGTCATCTGGGAAGTTTAATGTTGCCATGGCATATAGCAAGTCGGCACATTCCTTTATGTTCAGTTTTTCTGTCTGTCTTGCCATATTGAATGCCAATGAACGTAGTAATGCAGTCGAGCGACGTTGCTTCTGCGCCAATGATGTCATTATCTGCAAGACATTTGTCACACACAATATGAAATACTTACAAAGCTGAACTGCTTGACATGTTACTTATTTAAATCTTTGTGCTACATTTGTAACAGAATTTATTTAGAATAAGAATTCAAGGAGATGGTAAAAGGGGAGACCATGTTCTTGTGGGTTGCCACACCATGTAGCCTAGTAGGTGGTTACCAATGCATCATAAGAACCTGCTAACTCCATACGCATTGTAGATCTACTTCAAAGAAACAGCACCAGACTACACAGTGTCGTGGGAGACACCCACTTTGAATCAAGCACTAGCCAATCAGCACGAACCAATGGGCAGACCATCACCATCAACCAGGGATGTCAGTTTGATTCTCAACTCTTCCACTCCATGGACAACGACCCATCAACCTGCAGCTAATGGACTTGTGGTGTGCTTCCAGCATATGGTGAAAATGCTTTACGGCCTCATAGATGGCCAGCGGCTTGTGGTTGTATGTGCTCTATTTCTGCTTGGCTGGGTTGAGTTTCCAAGAATCTATCTCCATGTAAATGCACTTACAGGGCCGTTGCTTAGCAATGAGTGGTTCCTACACTGTGACTGACGACTAGTGTGTCGGAGGTATGTTGTTGCTAGGTGTGCAAACTAATAGGTGTCGGCAATGCCATGTTCCGCGCTGATGGGCTAGTGCTCCATTCAATGTGGGTGGCTCCCACAGTGTCATAAAAGAAAATATTGTAACCTACATCTTAACTGCTGTGACATCCTCTTTACTGGTTATTGGTCCAACGATCAACACTAACATTTTCTAATGGCCCACATGAGCAGGAATCATCCCTCTTTACACCTTATAAACAGATCCAGTTTTCAAAATGGTGTGGCTGAAAAAATATCATGGTGGCAGACATAATGTTTATTCTTTATGTGTTGCATTCCATTGTATGTCATTCAAAACAGTATACGAGGGGGTACCCAAAAGAAACCGAACTTATTTTTTTTTAAACTTATTTATTCAAATTTTAAGCACAAACCTTCAGTCCACTTCAAAGTACTCTCCACTTACACTAATACACTTGTCTAGTCTTTTATTCCATTTTTCAAAATATTGTCTAAATTTATCTTTTGAGATGCTTGACAGCGCCTCCGTCATTTTTTCCTTCACCTCAGCAACATCAGCAAAACGCTTTCCTTTCATGTCTCTTTTCATTCGAGGAAACAAAAAAAAAGTTTTGATCATTTCGGGACTCTTCTTTCAAAGCACAGCATGCTTCCACGCGACCTTGTTTTTGTTCAGTAGTCAGCAGTCGTGGCACAAATTTCGCAGCCACCCTTTTCATTCCCAAATCTTCTGTCAAAATTCGCTGAACTGAGCTCCAAGTCACTCCCGACAGCTCCACAATTTCTTCAATGGTCCGTCGTCGATCTTCCTTGATGATTTCACGAATTTTTTCAACATTTTCATGTGTTCGGGCCGTGGAAGGACGACCAGAACAAGGTTTGTCATCAACTGACATTTCACCATTTTTGAAACGGGAAAAGCACTCAAACACTTGAGTTTTCCCCATAGCATCGTCCTTGTATGCTGCTTTTAACATTTCAAGAGTTTCTGTTCCACTTTTCCCGAGCAAAAAGCAGAATTTCACCGCCGCACACTGTTCACGAAAATCAGCCATTGCAAAAACGACGATCACACAAAACAGCTGTCACTATAAACTCTGCCGAAACTAGTCCTTACCTTCCGAAGCAACGGTAGTTGGCTTATCGACTCAGGAATGTTAGCTCTATGCGCTCATAGTGGCAAAACGCGGTACTACAAAAGCTCTGCCCACAAAAAAATTAGTTCGGTTTCTTTTGGGTACCCCATCGTATTTGTATCTGTCAACACAACAATTTAGGTAAAAGTAATAACAAAGCATGATGACCCAAGAGGGGCTGAAACATGTTGTGATTACCATTAATATAAATAACCTTTGTTATTACCGTTACCTGAATTGTTGTGTTGATGGACACAAATATACTGTTTTATCATGTTTACTGTTATACACTACCATTCCATAACATGCAGACAGTGCACAGAATCCAATTCTGAAGAAGTCTGTGCCTTTAGAATTTATGGTGATAACAGTTTTATTTTTTGTTTAAATTCTTAACCATGCTATACAGACTACCATCTGGCATTTGTTTCTCAGTAACAAGCAAGCAAGTCCTATGCACAATACGAAATATTCACTGTCACTTCTATATAAAACTGGAAAAGGGGTCAGCTTTGTATTTGGTGGAAAGGCAACTTACCAGCAAGGTGGCAAATAGAGCAAAAACAGGGGAAATGAAAGAGGCAACCAAATCTACAATTTCACTCATCTTTACCTACCTATCCAGTGTGCTAATGAATTTTGATGTCACATTCACTTATGAAATATAATCTCAACCATTCTAACCCAATTAATTCCTTAATCTGTCATTACATTTGTTTTCACTTGCAGTTTGAACACCTAAGCAGCAATTAAATCAGGTGCTTGAGTGGAGAAAGCAGAATTCACATGACCTTCGTCACACTGTCACTCATTCAACTGCCAAATACAATACAAAGCCATAATCACAACTTCACAGAACAATGCCAGTTTCATGATAAAACTCTCTTACCCTAATCATCTGATTCAAAGAGACACCTGCCACAAGTTTGGCAGCTTCATCATCTCCTGTGACTCCAAGCACAACGGCCAGATCACCGATCCCTGATGCTTCCTTTTCAAAAGTCTGCGAGCTCTTGGGTAGCCAACGTCCCAATAAGCGACAGAGCTTCAAGAATCGGGTATCTGCTTCGAAATCTGAAAGCTTAGCACGACCATTTGTAGTCCAATCGGCAAGTTGGGAAACAATTCGTAAGGCATGTCGGCGTGACAACTGGGGTGCTTCAGCCATAGATAGCAATGATTCCACAGAACCCGCTGCAGCAATCCTTTCATCCAACGATGGGGATTGTTTCTGGGGGGCTTCAATACTTTTTAAAGAAGCAAATGCTGCAGCTACTATGCTACTTTTATTCTCTTTTATTCTCTTTACTGGTTTAGAGTCCGACGTACTCGTTTCCTCTGTCTGATTCTCTGGTGGCGAAATCACTGTTGATGATATATCGGCTGCAGGTTCAGGTACCTTAGATGCCGATTCTGAGCACGGAGAAGGATGGAGACCAACAGCAGCTGCAGCAGAAGAGCTTGCTGCTTGCGCTTGACTGCTGATTCTGAACAAAACACGCCATCCATTCCACGATACATACCGAATCATGATTATAAAGCACGAAATAGCGGGAATGAACACCACATCAAATCATCAGCACCTATTTGAATTCAGTGCACAATCCGGCGCTATAGTACACCAACTAGGCTGGAGAAATAATCAGTCCGGAACTTAACCTAAAATTATCTATTAGATTTTGTTAGCTTTAGCTTGGCACAACTGTTCCACAGAGTTTATGAAACGCATAGCAGGGAAATTGTTTAAACTAAGATTTACCTACTTGCTTTTACTTCTAATATACTGCTACTGTGATATGTATACCACAGTTTATATCGTTTATATCATCTATGACCAAGACGTTGCCAAGGTAACTGACTATGCTTTCGTTAGTGGTGAGCGTGGTCTGATAAACGACGTAAAGTAGCTGTGTAATGATCATAGGTTGTAAGTAAGGATTAACGTGTTTTTTTAAGTATTGCCTAGGACAACTTACGGTTCATAAACTCTTATAATGACAATCGAAGATATTTCGAAGTTTTTAAATACACACAATGGCAGAGATAAAGTTATAAGAACGCTGTCATATACCACAAAATTAGCAGCATCATTAGTATCGTCCAAAGAAACCGTACGTAAATTAGAAACTATCAGCGGCCAACTTAGTGCTTGCAGGACTGTTCTTCGTTTGTTTGACGATATACCAATGCTGAATTATACATTGACATATGGATGGGGAAAAGAGGTTGAGTAAACGAACACATTTATCTGTAAAAATTTCTTATAAGACAAAATGAAGAATTACTTTAATTATAACATATTTACAGGAGCCTGACAAGTTATCGAGAGTTATCGGAGTTCTTACGAATATAGCTGATCAACTGTATTTTCCGTTAGAACATGTTGCCTGGGCATCTGACCACAAGCTGGTCTCAACTCGTAGCGCGCCTTGGTGGACTGCCTGTACGGCTTGTTGGAGTCTTTCACTGTATCTGAGTCTTGCAAAGTAAGAACATAGTTCCATGATTATTCTCAGAGCTTTTCAGAGTACAGAAACTAGGGGAATACGTGTTGAAAATTTATATTGTTTTGATATTGTGCTGTACCACTGAACAAGATGGCTCACATGGTTCTGTGTTGAACTTGTATTTTGGATGTCCCTGATGTAAATCTCAGCTGGGGTACTGACTCTCCTGAGGGTTTACTTGGTTTTCCTCGATCACACAGGTAAATATCAGGCTTCTGACTTAAGACACAACTGCTTCTTTTACAGTTTATTGTCTTCCAATCATTCAGTGCCATGTAGTATGAGTTACTGACAGTGTTGTTAAATAAACTATGAATAAACAAATTTTCCCATGGCTGCTACTCACTGGTTCATATTCCTTATTGCTTCTAGGGCCTTGAGATGCATGTGTGTGCTGCAACAGCATAAAAGTTGTCTAAAAGGCATTGATACTGACGTCAAGTAAGTACATAAATTAATGAACATTCACAGAAAGATCCGCACTTGAGCCTGAATTATTCTTTCTGAACAAAATTAACTCCCTTTCTCTTGTTTGTAACTTGGCTAGAGAGTGGATAACGGGGTTTGATTCCCGGTAGGTGCACAGATTTTAGTTTTCACCATCACTTTCAGTCTGGTCCTGATGCCCACCTAGCCTCCTCTTCCATGTCAGGCTATGAAGCATACTGCTGACCTCAGTGTGGTGCTCAGATGAAGAATGGATGGAACTGTCTCTCCCATATATTTCTTTATGGTGTGACACTTTAAATTCAGGGACAACGTAAGCTCTTCCTGTAAGCAGTTAGATTTCCCAAAAATGCTTTAATTCCACCCTCCTCCTGCCATTTATTTTCATGATCATTCCTTCCAGAACTGATACAGTTTAAAATTGCAGTGAAAATATACATAAAATTATCAGTAAGTAATTGGAAATACAGGAGGCATGCAGTAGCATAGTTGGTTGAGGCACTGTGCTGCAAGCTGGAAAATCGTGGGTTGGAGTCCCAATGAGGTGGATTTTTTTTTTCAATTTATGTAATCCTTCCAGCCACACTTTGGCACTGGGTTTAACGCAGCCTCTAACAGAAATGAGAACCAGAATTCTTTATGGCGGTAAAGGGCGGCCAGCACGTAAGGCTGACAACCTCACCACCATCTGTGAGCCGACTGTCTACAGAAAATTTGGGATCCTCAACATCTCATAACCCTATGGGCCTTCGTGGCCTGTTACAAGGATACCTTTGCCTTTACCTAAATGGAAATACATAGAAAAGGGTAAAGCTATCCCTGTAACAGGCCGTGAAGGCCCACACAGTTGTACATCGAGGCTCCCACATTTTCTAGACGGCTCCCAGATGGCAGTGAGGTTGTCAGCCTTATGCACCAGCCAGCCTTTAGCTCATTTCTGTTAGAGCCTGAGTCAACCCCAGGGCCATACTGCAGCTGGAAGATTTAGGTCAGTTGAAAAATCCAATGACCTTATCGGGAATTGAACCCACAATCTTTCAGCTTGTAGCGTAATACCTCAAACAACTGCACTACGACATGCCCCTAATCCAGGACAAACTTGAATACAGTGATATCCTTGCAGGTTGAATGGAGTTTACTCACGAATGCCTTGATGTGCATATCTTCTGCACAGAGCAGAACTTTTCACTTAAGTAGTAGTTCTGACAGGACCCAGATGGGAGCACAGTGTGTGGGAAGTTTGAGGTGGGGAAATTAATGGCCTGAAGCAGCAGATTGGTATTAAATGCTGCCAGGAACTGGCCAGAAATTGGCAACTGGAACACTGTACTGCAACTGCCAATATACAGAGGGGTCCAAAAAATGTACTCACTCTTTGATAGTCAGTATCTTTGGAACAAAATGAATGTGGTTACAATTCCTGCACACAGAGAGAGAGAGTCATTGTATTTGTTCGAAGTGACCACCATCAGCGTCTAAACAGCGTTGATGCCGCCGAACTGCTGAGCGAACTACGGCTGTCACTGTGTCCGGTGTGATGGCTGCACACGACGCTTTGATGGCTTCTCATAGTGCATTCAGTGTAGCTGGCTTTTGTCAATAAACTTCATCCTTCAAAGTTCACCATAGGTAGAAGTTGAGAGGCGTTAGGTCTGGAGACCATGGTGGGTACTCAATAGCATCTCTTCGACCTATCCATCGTCCAGGTAGAGTGTCATCCAAGTACGTCCTTACATCTCGATGGTAGTGAGGTGGAGCACCATCTTGTTGTAGGTAAAATCTCTCATCTCCAAACAGCTCTTGAATGGCAGGGAAAATCGATGTCTAAAGCTTATCGAGATACACCTGACCAGTTACGGTACCTTCAAAGAAGAAAGAACCAATCAAACCGCGCGATGACAGACAACACCACACATTACCACCCCGTAGATTCACTTCCTTGCCCATGTGAACGTGTGGATTCAAATTTATCCTGAGTATGGGCAATTGTTCGACATGTTCGTGGTTGAGTTCCAAACCCATTATGCCATTGTCGTTGTACCTCTTTAATGTTTTCGTACTTCCAGTACCACTTCAATACAGCCTTATGTTGCTCAAAGAACAACCGTTCAGCCATTGTTGCTGCTGTTGCCTGCTTGCAGCACGCACGCGGCACGATACTCACGTGACTCATGTGACCTTCACCATCTGTTGAGAAAACATTACACTACACTACCACACAAGAACTGTAACTACACGTCATTTTGTTCTAAAGATATTGACTATCAAAGAGTGAGTACATTTTTTTGAACCCCTCTGTATAATATCAAGAAAGATTGTCACATTAATGAAACCTAGTGTTTCCTTTACCATCCTCAAAGTAAATGACAGTTCTCTATGAGGAAGTTGGTATCATTGCCACCCTCCCTAAATACTGGCAGAATGCTTGAGAATGAATAATTTTTGACTGTCAGGATGCCATATATCATGAATTTGTTCCTAGTAATGCTACAGGCAACAAATGATTCCAAAATGTGAAAGATGAAGACCCAGTACAACTGTATGACAGTTCCCTGACTCACTGTTCACTTCTTGCTTGCTAGCAGCTTACCAAACCCATTCCTGGAAGGCTGTCACATCAAGGACACAGTGTAGGTACAATCAAGTAGTTCTGAAGACTGTGTTGCAAGAGGCCATGTTTGGTGTCTCAGAAATGTTTTGAACAGTACAGATGCTGGCAAAAGTACGTTGTGCGTTCAAGTTCTAAGGTCTCCAATTTTTTTTTCTCACACAATAATCATACAAAAAATTTGAAACTTCTGTCACTTTTCAATGTAATCTCCCTGCAGCCGTACACATTTTTCACAACGTCGACGCCATGATTCCATGGCCGCTGCGAACGCTTCTGTAGGAGTCTGTTTTGACCACTGGAAAATTGCTGATGCAATAGCAGATTGAAAATGGCATCCATGTCTCATCCATTGTCACAGTTGATGAAAAGAAAGTCCCATTCATGCCTTCATCACGTGTCAACATCGCCTGGCAAATTGCTATGCGTGCATCCTTGTGGTCATCCGTGAGAATTCGTGGCACCCACCTGGAGGACACTTTCCGCATTCACAGGTCTTCATGCAGGATTTTGTGCACAGATCCCACAGAAATGCCAACTTTGGAGGCAATGTTTTCCACACTCAATCGGCGATCCTCCAAAACAACTTTCTCAACTCGCTCGACCATGTTGTCAGACTGGCTGGTGTGAGGCAGAGATTGTTTTGGTTCGTTGTCACATGACGTTCGGCCTTCTTTGAACTGTCGCACCCACGAACGCACATTTTTCACATTCATGACACCATCACCACACGTCTCACTCAGCTGGCGATGAATTTCAATGGGTGTCGCACCATGCAAGTGGAGAATACGAATGATTATTTGCTGTTCTTGTAACGAAAATGTCGCCATTTTAAGTATCAAAAACACTCCTCACCCTCGCTGCTACCACTAGAGTTCTCTGTGCCGTAGGGTGCGGCCATCTCTGTCACGCATTCACAAAGAGTGCACATGTATTTTTAACTAAACCGCATATGTCTGCTCCCAGTCCTGAAAAAAAATCGGAGACCTTAGAACTTGAACGCCCCTCGTATGTTGATACTAAATGAAAGTATTGCATTGGCCCATTCTTCCCTTTCTCATTCATGGCTTTGGCTCTCTTTATCTGTACATACCCTACAGAACCCATTTATTTTGACCCCTCCTTCTATGTGTCCAGCCATTTTCCAAATCACTTCCAACTTTAAAATGGGGCAGTATGCTTCTCTGAAACAACCCACATACCATATTACACAGTCTCATGCCCCAGAAGACGACAGAAAGAGTACTCAGTGATTATTAAAGTTCTAACTCCCTCTTTCTATTTCATGCAGCAGTGTTGTAACAAGACAACTACTAGCCCAGCAGCGCCATCAGTTGTTAATTGCTCTTCGCTGCATTGGTGACTTGGCTCAGGCTGTCAACTGGCTACCAGATGGATTTCTGTGGGCAGGGAAATTGGAGAAATGGCACTGTGGGGTACTGGGCACTGTTACCTCAATCATAAGTCTGTATCAGGCATATCAGAAAATAATAATAGACCAAAAGTCAAAGTAGACACCATTGTTGATCTTTCCATGGAAGAAAAATAACTTATTTTGTCACACATGCATGGACATCATGTAGGATTTCAACACTGATTTAATATTGACTTCAGAATTTGTCTACCATCCATTGATTTTCAGTGAACTGAAAATGAATGTTGAAGTAATTTAAAGACATATACACGAAAGTTGAATTTGCCTGTTGAACTTGCCTAAAATGTAGCTACTATTGATTTATGCTCATATTTCACCTGTGGAGCATCCTTTACCACTGTCCAACAGTATTTGCCTAACATACTGGGGCTCCACTTGCCCTGGTATTGCTTCTCTATCATGGATATTTCTTGACAACTGCAATCTGCATGCTAAGCACTGACAACATGCAAGTTTTTCAGGAGGAAGTTAGATATGAAAGAAAAAAATGAATTTTTAATTTAATTTAATGCTAGAAAGTTAATAGAATTTTCCGTCCAGTGCGGCAATAGAGGTCACATCACTTTTATTATTCTTGCCTTACATGTTTCGGTTTAATTAAAACCATCATCAGAGGCACTTTTCATATGGCAGGAGACACTGTTAATTAAGCTGGTTTGATGTTCACTTTCAGTTGTGTTATTCAGAGATGTATGTTTCGTATTGTCATAGGTTTTAGTTACGATGGCACTCATCTTATAAAAACATAAACATGTAAAATAATTGAGTATGCCAATAGGCTATACGCAGCACAGGAATTATCACTATTCCCACAGTAGATTTGTTATGTTTGGATTAATCACTATTAAACTATTTAAAATTTAATTCAAATTGTCTTAAGTCATTGTTGGTTGTCAGTTCTTCCCGTGGATGGGAGTCGTCATTGTTGGTGGTGTGTGGGCTTATATTCGTTATGATGTTACGTGTGTGTTGTGTCCTTTGTACTGCTTTGATGGGTACAATTCAGAATAATTTCATGCACTGAGAAGTTCTTAAGTGAGTGATTTGTAATTTTCCATCTTGACATTTCCAGTGACTTTGTGGCCTCTGCTTTAAATGCCCTCCAAGCTGCTCTTACAGATACATCTAGGTTAACCAGAAGTTTGATTAGTGACATTTTTTGTTCTCGAATCAGTGGTTATTAAAGTGGTCATTGTGCCTCTGGGTAATGACTTTCTCATGCTCATCTGTCCCATTCGCAGTGGAAACAATGAGGTTCATACAGCCCAGCTGTAAACCAAGCACAGGTGTGATCACGTTCAAACCTCTATAGACATGCCAAGAGTATTCATCATATTGGATATGTTTCATGAGATCATACATGTTGTCTGTATGATTCTGTCATATGAACAGCATGTGCTATTGGAATTGATGGGCATTTCTTCCCATTACAGAGCAACTTAGTTTTCAAACTCAGCTTTCAAGTATCAATAAATAGGCCCTATTTGTTAGGAGCATGCTGTTCGCCACGGGCTTCAAGTCATTTTGATGCTTATGAACAAAGATATCTTGGTGCCTTTTTCCACAAGATTCTGACATTTCAATTTAGAAGCCAAAAGTCCCAACTGATTATCTAACAAATCCAGATCACAGATGAGATCATTTGGGCCATCTTGAGATATCAAATGAAAATCTGTTGATGAATAAAATGGTAACGTAAAGTTGTCCCTCTGCTTAGCTAATTAAGCTGTATGCAATGAAGGCGTATGGGGGAGTGGATGTATAGTTCCATGTTTCTTGACATTGGCGCTTGTTGGAGGTGAGTGGTCAGCTTCACATCCCAGTCATCCAGCCCATAGCCAGTCGCTATACCAACTATGCTAGCCTGACTCAATAAGATGGTTAAAATTACTATAAATTAATAAAATATATAACATTGAACAAGTTTAGGGAACTGAAAAATTCAAATCAACATGTAAACTGTATGGCCATGACTTGAATGTGAAGGTGTAACAAGTGACATGCAAAACCTTACAAAGCAGTGGAAGAACAAGTGCTAGACCTCCTTCTCCCCCTTCTTATTGTGATGTAAATCTTAAATTACTTCATTTCATTTGTCACTCAAAAACAGTGGCTTGTGGAAAAATTTATAATCAGTATGAAAGAATATACAGGTATGTGATACAGTCATTAAGTTCGTGGAATGTGGTTTTATCACATCGTATTACAAGGTATTCACATACACTTACGCAGATCCACATCGGCCCTAAAAATAATTGCCGTTGGCTGCTTTGCAGGTCTGCCAAAGTTGATATAGCTGTCGAAAACATTGCTGAAAGATATTGGCAGTAAATTCCCATACAGCGCTTTGCGGCCATAACACGAACTTATTGACTATGGTAGTACATAGATCACCCAGAGACACCTGTGTGACAGAATCCTTGTTCAACAGCGCTGTGAATCTTTATCCCTGTAACAGGCTGTGGAGGCCCGTAGGGTTGTGAGACGTCGAGGCTCCAACATCTTCTAGACAGTCGGCTCACAGACGATGGTGAGGTTGTCAGCCTTACTCACCAAGTGTGCTGTATCCCCAGGAAGTTTCCTGGTATTCATTTATGTCAGAGGCTCTGTTGACCCCAGGGCCATAGTGCGGCTGGAAGGATTAGGTCAATTGAAAAATCCAATGACCTCATTGGGAATCGAACTTGTGACCTTCCAGCTTGTGGCACAGGAATAGGGATTTTAAGTCTTCTGATTTGCAGCTTATTAGTAGTATTTCTGGAGTATTTACAACACTGTAGAGTGCCTATTAATTTTTGCTCAGTCTGTAGACATGAAGAAATCCGAGAATCACTGCATTGAGGTTTAATATTTCAGATTTTACAAATTGTTGAACCTCTTCAAATGTAAATTCTAAAGGATTCTGACGATGGTGTATAATACCCAGATTTACTGTTTTTTCTACTTTTCCCTTCGTTCAGTAATCTAGAAAATAGAAAACACGACAAAATTAGCTCTTTCTAAGGGGCCCAATTGAGTAGGTGGCTTCCCCCCCCCCACCTGAGGACAGAAACATCCAGTTTCCAAAATGTATTTTCTATTTTGTAGAATACCAGATGATGGAGAAAGTAAAAAAACACTAATTCTGTGCACTTCAAATGTAATTTAAATTATAAAATGTTAGTAATCACTGTACATGAAAACCTATGTGTTTTTCTGAGTACCTCAAGTGTAACCAAATATTTATTGGAGCAAGACATGTTTCTGACAAATGTTATGCACGAAAATGAAACATATTTTCATTCACTATGTTTTTTGCTGCCCAGTCTTATGGTTTTAGAGATGATTGAACAAATCAGAAATTGTGTATGCATTTCCAAATTTGTATATTCAGCAACATGATGGTCTTGTTATTACATCAAAAATTTAGATTATTCTGTGTTTTTCAATTATGTATCTCTTTGTGTGTGTGTGTGTGTGACTTTCCCTGTTCATTAGTACAGATAATCAAGATTATAATATATAAGAAATAAATTTTTACAACGTTTAGGCAAATAGTTCAGTAAACATTGCACTTTTGCTGCAGTGGACTTTTAATATCTACATTCCTAGAAGAGGGAGGCCAGTAGACATGGCACTTTAACCTTTATATATGCCTGTGGGGTCCTTTCATCAACCAGATCCTGCAGTTATATTAAATGAAGAGTGAAGAATGTTCTTGTCAGCCTTTATTTTAAGAGATGACCTTCACAGTGTGACATTTTTAAAACATTTCCATATCTGAAAGAATTAAAACACAATACTCAAAATCTCTCATGAACTTCCCAGCAGTGGGATTACTTTGTAGCTATGAATTGGCATTAAATCACAAAACTTATTAGTATACATAAAAATTATTGCCAAGAACCATTTCTGTCTGAGAATAATGAACGCCTGTTCATTACTATATCTCCCTAAAAGCATTAACCCTTTGAAGGGCAAAAGTCATCATGTAAAACTGGTTCTTACCTCACAGAGAACACACCACTTATTTATTATCAAATAATTTGGCTTGTGATCAGAAAAATTCACAGTTTTTTGTAAGAACCAAGTGAAACTACCAAATATTCTCTTTGGGAAGAAATGGCGAGTCTTTCTAATGTTAAATCAGGTGACATATATGAATACCACCGCCCATTAAAGGGTTAGCAGTCTTTGATATTGTAAAATAGTAATTACATTGTTTTATACAGATATTATTTTATTACAAACGAGCTTCTGCTGTTTACTGACTACAAAATATAATTAAATGTTCCTATTCTTTGCAAGTTCTACATTTCTGAAAGTTCCTGTAAATATGTTTGTTCTCAGAATATTTGTGAGCCTAACTGGAAGCAAGAGTTTACATGTTGAAATGTCCTTTACATACTGATCACTGCAAGCTATGAACATCTTCATATTCAACTTACTGGTAGTAATATATGTGCCTATATAACTTGTTGCTCAATAAAATACTGTACTATTTCACATAAAAAATTTGATAGCAGACCTGATCTGTGTCACTTTGGGACATGCAGTGTAAGTATAAAACTTATAACCTCAATTGGCATTTCAGGCAAAGTATATTACCGTATTAAATTGTTACAGCAGAATTCTCTGAAAAATGGCAGCAGTTATGATTTGATTAGTATGAAAAGTATGAGTAGTATTACTGGGGTTCTGGACGTACATCCATCATCTAATATTATGGACAGAACACAACATTTCAAACATTGGATCTTTCCATCCTGTGGTTAAAAGGTGAAGAGAGAGTCAGGTATGTTAGAAAGAGCTGATCTCCATTAGTGCATTGCTCTATGTCTCTCGACAGTTTCACTTTAGAGTGGAAAGAGATTCAGTTTCCGAAACATGTTTTACTAGAAATACTAGATGATGGAAAAACTGCTGACACCAAATAATACAAGGTGTAATGTAACATTATCAAAATTTGGTCATTTGGTTTCTAAAGCTACACTTTGACAATTAAGTCATTTGTGCTTTTAATTTCAGATGGCTGGCATATTTGTAACTCATATTCTATTTGACACTACATTGTCCAGTTTTCCGTTGTACTTCAGTTGGGTTGGGTGTTTTCAGATAGTTCCCACTCTTGTCTACCAGAGGTCCTGCAATTGCACAACCATAGAGGCATCTACAGCAGAGTATGGAGGTTGGTGAGCAACCGAAAATTGTCTCATTTTTCCTTTGTTCATTGCTTATCATGCCTTAAATGCATAACATGGGACCCCTTGCTTTATTTCCCTTACAAAGGAAATTGTGCTATGGAATTTTTATTGCCCTTAAAAATCCACTGAACTCAGCTGGGTCTGAACCTGCAAACCTTGGGTCCGACGGCAAGTGCAGTGCATAGTTCACCTAATTATTTTGTTCCCAGTGCTTGAGATTCATGATAACAGTCTAATAACAATTAAAAATGGATGTCAGTATAAGGATCAATACTGGAAATTTCAGCTTCCTTGAAAAAAGAGGGATGAGACAGTATCCGTAATTGTATACAAGTACAATATGCTGGACGTTGTCCACTACTTA